ATTATGAGAGTCATGAATTGGTCCTGTTTCCTTTGAAAGGAACATTTGACCAATAAAACTTACAGTACTTATAATTGTATTTGTATTTACTATTGTATTTTTTAACCAGGATTGACACAACTGTTGAGGGTAAGGACATCAAGAAAGTTTCTTGCCTGTAGACTTACGCCTGATATGGAAAACAAAATTGTTTTCTTAACATCAAAAGTGAGTATATTTATTAATAAATTATTAATAATAGGTGCACTAAAAGCAGCGATAGCCRTTATAACCAGGTTCTTCTAGCCACTCCAAGAGAGTTAGGCCTAAAAGAAACCCAGAAGGGTTTTCTCTGTCCAAACTCCCTCACAGTGGCTAAAAATGCTTGGCTACAAAGGCTAAAATWGTGAATGTAGTTTACTACACACAGGTGCCTATAGAAGGGGTAACAAGGTATTTTGCTCCCCCCCTTTTTTAATGGCAAATTAATTTAAAAACAAATTCAATATAGAAATCTGAGCAGTGATGTAATGTGAAATTGATTTTTTTACTTTTCCACGACTCTTGACTTTTTCATTTAAACAGTAGTAGATTTCTATGACGTCACGTGACATCATAGCGAGAGCATTGTTGGTTGCTGCCATGGAATACATTTTAATTTGTTAAAATTGATATATAATTATTGTTACTTAAAAGGTAAAATTTGGACAACAAAAACGGTACCAAGACTGGTTTCACAGACAGTACCTATCGACACCTGAGAGCCACACCCTTATTCCTGATATAATACGATACATTGTGGGTGTGGTACACCCTTCTAATGAGGTGTTAGGCTCTGATGTAATTCCTCGTTGGGCCATCATTGGTTGGTTGCTGACAACTTTTCAAGTWAGAAAACAWTCATGTAACAATAGTCTCCTTCACGGTTMCCTGCRCCATSTTRAAAGGTAGCCRTGCCTTTGCATCGAAGYGAGACRACCRTTGAGYRTGCAATGAYAGATACCTCCTTTCAYACCTACWGACAATTATTCMCAGKTTTCTATCATTGCACACTCAACAGTCATCTTGCTTCAATGCCAAGGCACGGCTACCKTTCAAGATGGTGCAGGGAACTGTGAAGAAGACTATTGGCTTTTAAAATTTCAAGTTTCTAGTTTTTTATTATCCCTATGTACAGTCAATCCCATGAATGTTGTTCAGTTGTAAAGACAAACACAACAACAACGTCAGTTGCATTATATTGTATATATACCGGTATTTTTTTTTTTGCAAGGATATTCATCATAAAGTTCCCAAACTTATCTGCAATGTCATTAACATTTAATTTGCTATCTATCTGGAGTTGTAAGCTAAAATCCTTCTGGGGAATTTTGAAAACTTTTTATATTCAAAACACTTTGCTGTTGTCTATATCTTAGTTTATGATATGTTAATGGATTGAATGAATGTACTTCACGAGCAGTTCAGTATTACATGCAATGGTATTTCTTCTTTCCTTTAGACTTCTGTGGCCTCTGCGAATGCTAAACTGGCTTTGTTCTTCGATTGGCTGTTTTATCAGTCAGACAAAGACAATATCATGAATATAGGTACTTTACAATCAAAATATTTGTAATTGGTAGCATGTTAAAGGCCTCTTGTCGACCGACAAACCTTTGAAGATTGTTGATACTTGAAAATATAATATACATCTTGATATTAGCAAAAACGTACAACTTTGTAATCCCATTATACTCTATAACATGGAGATAAGATTAAGATCTTCGATGCCAGAGTMAATCTTAAGACCGACGGATAGAAACGGATTGCGTATATCGCCTTATTTTCGTTTTACGAAAAATCTTAAACGCGATCATATTGAAAGCTGGTTGACGATGGACTTGTAATATATGTAAACCCATGCTATGTTTGCCAGTCTTTGTTACATAAAAGTATATTTTTTAAAATGATTTCAGAACCTGCTATTCTCCTCATGCACCATTCTATTCGAAGTCATCCTTTCATTACAAGTACATTGCTAGATTTTATCTGCAGAGTAAGTATTTTCATTGTGTAAATTTTTTTTTTCAATTCAATAGGGTTATTCAAAGGCCCAGTTTGCACCATCATGCTTTGCGAGCCTCTGTTATTGTTATGATTTACACCATAATACTTCTACATGTAGTATCCAAATATCACCATAAAACGAAGTAAGATGGTTGAAATCTCTAATATTATCGTTTCAAGTGAGATGGTCAAAGATTCGAAACGCACAGTACAATATATAGACTTTCGGTAAACTGAAAATGGCCGGCCGAGGGCCCCAAAGCATAATGGTGCACACTGGGCCTTTTAAGTTTAAAGCAAAGGCATTATAGATACTGATGAATAATAAACGGCGGCTGACTACAATTAACGTGAGCTCGAGACAAGTTTAAGGCCGGTTTACACTTGCGATTTTTGCAGCGCGATAATCGTTACTTTGCTTCGCGCAACTCAAATCCTACGTTTAAACAGCCAATCGCCGCGAAGTTGCAGCTAAATTTCAAATATKTYTGAAACTCAGGCGATGGTCACGCGAAAATTGCACTGCAAAAATCGTATAAACTGGCSTKAAGGTATGATTGTGTATTCGCACGTGATAAGTCRCATAGTGCAATRGAATGCAATACATGATGTGTAAATCGGTCTCAAGCAAAAGCATATTTAARATATAATGTATATTGTCAATATTAAGTGAGTCACTTGCTTAGTTTAACATCATCAATAAAAGTCAAAGAAAACTATTGTTTTAACAACTGCATGTGATTTGACACTGTACCTGATTATACTAAATGTATAACTTCAGAGTTTGTGTAAAAAAAATGCTATTTCTCCTTTCTAAGAAATATTATTTTTTTAAGATGATGTCAAACTACTGTCCAAGTCTCAATGGTTTTGTCAGACAAGGAGTTAAAAACGGTTTTAAGACAATTCAGAAGAAGAAAGTTGTGATGTAAGTATTGAACCTCACTGGCTTACATGATGAATSATACTTGATGCGCAAAATATTAATTTGTTATCATCAAATTTAGGTCACTTTCTCCTCTACTCGACAATCCTAAAATGGAAAGAGCGTTAAAGGCTCTTGTCAAAAGAGAGCTAAATGAATTCTGTGATCCTGGTAAGTTCATGGTTGTACAAGGGCTGGATAAATGTTTCCACTCCATAGGTTTTGTGTGGATTTTATGAGCTGGATAATGGTTTATCTCCGGCTGGGTAGTTATAACGTCCTTCATAAAACTGGCACTTTCTGAAAACTGAATCGTTCGAGGAAATAGACCTTTTTCGATTTCGCCWGGATGAACACGAAACAKTGGTTTTAGTTCGAGGCTAGTCTTGATAGTAAAAAGAATYAAGTTCAGTSTCGACTTGAAACTATTCTTTTGTGATCATCCAACGAATTCGGGAAAGGTGTATTATTTGTTTTTCGGATTATACAGGTTCCCAGGGAAACTATCACAGCATAATGTGCTCGGTTCAACTACGCTATTTCAATACACCTTAATCCAAAATGGCTGACTAGCCCTTGATGTCTCGTTTTCATGAAATTGTTTTTTTCTTTTAAAGTCACTCAACCTCAAAGACAAAATAATAATTTTATGAAAACGAGACATCAAGGGCTAGTCAGCCATTTTGGAATAAGGTGTATGGATCCACATATTCGTTATTGTCTCGTTTCATTTCCATTTTTTCAGTCAAACCTCTGTTTTTGTTAGGTGTCAAATTGGAAGAGCCATCACCTTCAGATCCATCACCTAGTGCCCCAATGAGAGCGGAACTTCCTTCGACCGATTCAWTGAAAGATGCCAACGAGACTGAAGACAGTGGGGTTGACGATGAGCTTGAAATAGCAGAAGAAGACGCTGTTTTTTCTGATCCTGAAGARGATGAAGAGCTGCAGGCAATGAAAACTGAGCCTATTGAGAAAGAATATCAATTTAAACCAATCCCAAAAGAGGATGAGACAGGTCCGACGACAAACCTGTCRRCAACGGAGAGAGATGAAAGAGAGAGCAATGAAGATATCACTGAATTAGAAGAACTCGACCATGTTGGTGAGGAACTCAAGGAATTATTAATACAACTGTCAAGAGAAAGGTAAATATATAAATACCAAAAATGATCAGTTTTGTTATAATTTAAGCGTGAAAAAGTACCAGTTGATTAAGCTCTGTAAACCCGTGAAACGAATAGTGAAAATACATAAACAAGAAAAAAAATTGAATAAAAGCGTACAAAGGTCTATTGTGGAATTTCTACTTCATGCAGACCAGCAGAGACAACGGAGCCTGATTGTAGCTATAGCTCCCCCAATATATTGCTAAGAAAACAAATTTTGAAATAGTTTTAAGGTTTTTTTCAAATGCAAGCCCATACTCGTAACGTGCTCTGCAGTCCCTCATGAGATCATTAGACAGTAGAAATCGAAGAGCTCCACGACTTTCAAAAATGGCGGTAGTTCACGACCATAACTGTGGACTAGGGACAAATAATGGAAATGAGACCTCAGGAGGACTTCCATCTAGTAATTACWATGAAGATCGCATGTTGGTAGTGTC